CACCCCTTGTGCACATTGTGATTCACGTCCACAAAATGGCGAACGGCCTTCCGCTAAAAATATGCAGCTCTCAACTCTAAATCGTCATATATAATCGAACAAATCCTGCAAAAAAATCATCAAAAACCTCATGAATCAAACACTATACATGTACATATACCAACATTGTAGAACACTAAAAAACAAATACAAATTTTGTACAAGAAGTTTAACATCCAAGAAGAAAAACTGCAATTTAAAAAAAAAAAACAACAATAAATTTCATACTCGAAATCCAATAACAGTTTACCCCAATTCCCCCATCGCAAACAAATTAAGCCTCTCGTTGATCTGGAACAAATTGTTTAAAAAAAGTCGCAATGACAGCATAAATAAATTAAATGCAGATCACCAAGAGTGAAACGACCATCATACCCTAATAACAACATTCCAACGTCCTCAAATGGGAAAACACCCAAGAGAAAATAAAAAGGAAAAAGAAAATAGAAAGAACAATTACAGGCAAGAGGAGACGAAAACTCTGGCGATTGATTGATTACAACTACGCCAAGATTGGAAACAATTCCATCATCAATCGAATAGATTTCATCGATCGAGAAACGCGGATCCCGGCGCCCTGCAAAAATTCCATTGCTCTTCCGCGCGCGCGCGAGAGAGAGAGAGAGAGAGAGAGGATGTTGGAAAAATAAAAATAAAAAAGCGTAAACGAGGGAGTTTTCAGTTTTGTGTGTTTTAGTCACCATGGCAAATGAAAAATAATATAAAAAAAAAAAAAAAAATGTATTCGTTAATTTGGCGCCCCGAGCCGGTTAGAAGAAGCCGACATAGCTGTCCTTGGCGCTTGCGGCGCCTTGGAAACCGTTGATTCAGCATTTTCCCTCCATTGACTTATTGACTTCCACCTCGGAGAAAGCTTATAGAATAATAAATAGTAATAATAACATGCCACACACGTTTCCGGTTTGGGCCTGTTGTTGGGCCCACCATTGTTATGGGCCCTACTATTATCTTTTTTCCACATTGGATCCGATCCATTTCCGGCCCGTCTTTTTCCTTCTTTCTCTCCACGTGGCGCCCTTTTACGTATGTGGAAATTAAATAATTTGATTATGTCAATTATCACATTGGTTTCTCCGTCTGAATTAGAATGTACCAAATTATTCGGTACTTGTGTTCAACCATCCATGTGTGTCTTGGACATCTATGCACTCTTTTTCGTCATAGAACTATAGTTGATAATTCAAGGGGAGATGTTCAAAAATAAATAAATTAAATAAATGAGATAGCATTGGGAGTAAAACAATTTTCTTAAAATTTGGCAACTTAAAAAATGGTAAGACGCTAGAACTAGAGTTGTCCATGAGGCGGGGACGGGAAGCTTTTCCTATCCTCATCTTACTCATCTATTTCATTTCTTTATCTTCCAAATAATTTTTACTTCCAAAAATATAGTTAGTTTAAAGTTTTCAATATTTATTAAAAGTTGTAATTTTTTATTAATAAATAGGTATAAATAATGTTCTAGCAACCTAATTTCTAAAAATTTAACATTTAATACTATAACATATTTTTTTAACGATTAAACTTTTTAACGAAGGTAAAGTTCAAAACGGCTGACGTGACTGGGGCTATTACACAACCTCTACTTCCCGTCTAAATAGGACGGTCCCATGGATACAATGGAAGAAAAATGGGTTTGAAATGAGACTGTCACAAAGGAAGAGGAGTAGCGTGAGCGTGGTGGATGGATGTGATGTGACAATGGCGGGGTAGGAGTGGGTGAGCTGGAAACAAACTGAAAGGGGAAAATGGAGCCTCGGGGGTAACGCCTCTGGATTGGATAGTCCCCACACCCCCACATCCTCAGCGACCGCTTTAAGCTGCGGAATTAGCGGCGCCGTTGATTGAAAGACAGACAGACAGACGAACAAACAAACAAACAAGCACCGCTTGAAGAAGAAGCAGAAGAACATCAACAACAACAACAACAGAAATGGCTTCAGCCGAGAGACAGCAACAGCTTAGAGATGGCTTTAGGGTTGTCGTTAGGCCAAAACTCATAAATCCCCATCTCATGCCGCTGTCTTCTTCCTTAAATACACTATTATTAAATTCCACAGCTGTTAACACCCCACCTCCCCTGCCCTGCCCTTCTTCCTCTTCCAAATTTCCTCTCTCCCCCCAAATGCCATATTCAATCAACATTATAACCAATTTGGTATTGTTACTTACTTACAGCTCTTTATTTCTTACCAGCGCAGCACCATTTCTTGTTAATACTTTATCAAACCCAAGCTCTTTAGCCATGGAACCATTTCTTCTAATCCTTCTTTCAAGCTTCTGGGCTTATAATCCAGTTCTTCTTTCGCCTTCTCGCACGAATATGCCCATTCATGTCTCAGAACACTCACAACCTGCATCAATAACAGGAAACGAATACCAAAGGAGTCAAATTATGTTACTCATCAAAGTTGTCAAACTATTTCATTGTTTCTTATGAAAATGTGGCGTACCGGGGGGCTGATGAGAGGAAGTTTCCCAGTGATCCGAGAGATAACAACTGAAACCCAACCATATGCTTCGATCAACCACAATGGAATGTTAAACATTGGTCTTCTTGTACCAGTAATGGCTGCAGCTGTGTCAAAAACATCCACAAATGATGCATTTTCTCCTGTTAGAAGATACCTTTCACCTACGCGACCTTTCTGCATTGCTGCAATATGCCCTTCTACCACATCGTCGACATGGCTAAACGAGTATCTATCGCTTCCTTGGCCTATATAACCCGGCAATCGCCAATTGAACCGTTCGATCAGCTGATAAGATAAGAACAACATAATCCCATGACCCATTTTGGAAGAAAGCCAAAGTCAGTCAGTCAGGTTATACTTATAACAGATGAAGATCAGATGAAAGTGTTTGTTGATTTCATACAAACAAGGAAGTCGGGAAGTTCCATAGATTTCCCCAATTCAGTCTCACAAGGAGCTCTAAAGATAGTCAAGAACAAATATCTTTTTACAAAATTAAAACTTGAAAGATTAAGTGATCGGTAGGATAACAGACCATAATGAACAGAAAAGGGTATTGTTCACAGAGAAAGAGCAAAAAAAAGCCAAAGAGAGAATTTTAGTTAACCATTGTTCCATTGACGAAGTCGCATAGTCGATAATTTAAAAGTAACCATCTTGATGAAGAAGCGAAGTAACTTATGTGCAAATCGACTATAAACTCTTATTCAAATGTCACATCTATAAACTCTTATTCAAATGTCATGAACTAACTTACTTACAACTCGACTAATCTCTCCATGCAACTTCCAAATTCTAATACAGGTAGTTTCCATGAAAAATTGTACGTTAAATCATAGGTAGGTAGCAACCATGATTCGAACCTATTTTCTCCAAATCATTATAATCATGACCTTCGTTGACTATTAAGTCGACTCATGATGGTTTTTCTTTTACAAGTATCTTAGAGTAAGTGCGTTTATTAATCGCATTTAACTTGTTAGCAAAATTCTAAAGTTTCAATAGCAAGCTTTTAAAAGCCGTCACAAAGTCTAAAGATAGGTTGGAAGTAGCTAGAGAACTCATTTGAGTAGTCATTAAATTACCTTTTGTCACCAAAAATGGAGATCAGAATCCAAAAGGAATGAGTGTTTCTCCACTGATTGATCTTTGGTGTTTTGCTTGTTAGGCCGTTACTTACTGGCGTGAACAACTACCATATCAATCTAACAGAATTTATCAGAGAAAAAGCAGTCATTACCAGGCGGGCGATGACATTTCCAGCCGTAAGCTTTCCAGAACCATAGATAACTCCGGGATAAACCGGCACTATCGGGACGCCCTCAGATGCAGCTTGCAATGCAATCTTGTCAGCAATAGCCTTTGATTTCTCGTACTCCGTACAAAAGAACTTCTCGTGATGGACCTGTCATCGCAATTCCATTCGTTGAAATTTGAAAACATCGATGACGATCAACGCATTTGTTTCTGGATCACAAAAGGAAGAATGAAGAATGATTTTTCTGAAATTTCAAATCCTAATAGTACCTGGTTTTCATCGGCAACATATCCATCGGTGGAGCCAAGCGCAAAAAACGACGACGTGTAGATTATCTTCTCGATCGTCTTCGTCTCTGTAACCGCTTGCAACACGTTCTTCAACCCTCGAACGTTGACCTACATAATCAACGCGATAATTCGCTATTACACTCGTTAAAGTTAACCTATTCGATCCGGAAAAACTAAATGCTGTGGAAATTAACAGCCAGAACGAGAGTGCTAGTGTTTCTTTTACGAAATTTGAAATGAAATCCGATGAGCTCATCCAAAACCTAGAACTCGAAACATTTTCCGCGAACATAATCTTTTTCTCGGTAGCCACGCAGGAATTCGGTCAACAATTAAAAGAAACCTAAAAGATTAAAAAACTGCAAATGCTTACTGAGATGAATTTGGATGGATCAGGAATCCAGGGCTCGACTAGTGCGGCTGCGTGGAATACGATATGGCAGCCGGAGAAAGCATCTAGGAGCGACTGGTAGTCGGTGACATCGCCATAGACGAGCTCAAGAGCGGAAGGATCATGAGGAAGAGATGAGAGGTCACTGGTCGGACGGACCAATGCCCTAACGGAGAAGCCTCGGTTCAACAATGCATGGCACAGCCTTCCGCCCAGATATCCAGACGCCCCAGTTACAAGAACCTTCATACTTTCAACGAAGGCAAAGCGACTGAATTCGCAAGATATGGAAATACCTTACAATGCCCAAGATTATATATTGCTTCATAATCAATTCTCTACACAAATCAGACAAGCTTGAAACGTGAAGGAAGAGAACTTGTATATATAAGGATCATACGCCAGTTCTAGAAATTTGGTTCGTAATCACTTTTTACAGAAATCACTTCTAATAGTTATCCACTATTTTATTTAAAGCCTTCTAAATGGCAGTTTCTGTAAGACTTTCTAAATTTGAAGGGCTCACATCACAAACTAAGTCTTTTCCTCGTTGATATACAAATTTGCAGGGGGCTACAATGTGGGCTCTAGTTTACATTTACATTGTTTCTGCCCCAAAGTTTCCCCAAGAGGCAAAGTTTTCACCAAACCAGTGAATTCCTTGTCTCTGTATTTATGCCATGGGCCATGCTCTCTGCGCATTTGATGGCAACAAATGAGTTTCAGCTTGGCTTTTCTGGTGATGAATGGCTATAGTCTCGACCGACGCATCAGTTTGATGGGATTGAATGAGGTATGTCGCCTTGTGTGTACACGCAGGACACCATTTGAAGAACTTGATGATTCAATGTCCCAATCCTCGACGTTCTTTGGAACACAAACGTCGTAAAGGATTTGACCATTAGCTCCACGGGGAACGGTCCTTGGCGAATTAGATAGCCGCATAGCTCCTTCCATGTCTTCGTCGTGCTTGGATCCAATGCCCCTGTAGTCAAAGCCATCTATCATACTGGAGAAGAAAAGGTGGTTGCTTGGAGCAAGAGCAGGCTCCTGAAAACTACTTGATGGAGATGCAGCTTTTCTAACGTCGGGTGTTGGATTGCAAGAGTCACAGTTCATTTTATCTACTGCAGCTACTTCATTAGGTCTAGTTCTTTGCCAGTAAACTCCAGCGGCCTTATTTAGCAACTCTGTGACAGCAGCTCTATATTCGATTGGAAAATGCAGAAAATGCCCTGCAATATGCAAACAACACAGCTCAAGGTTTCAAAGCCTGTTCAATTCATAGGATAAACATTTGAAGAACTCAAAATACATCGTAAAAGAGAGAATTCTTGGCTAAAAACAATTCAACGATCATGTCAAGCCACTTGTTTACTAAGACAACGTACGTGCCACCAGTCACGAAAGAGCAAGAGAAAACGATGCAATAGTAACGTCCATGCATACAGAAAGAAAAACTTTTAGAACAGACCTACATGTGGGGAGCCATTCCATTTGATTAATTTAACATCTCTCCCGAGGTCTTCTAGTCGTTGAGCAAAATTGAAGATCGTCTGATAGGGAGCAAGATCATCCTCTTCCGAGCACAAAATAAGATAAGGAGCTTTCATACTCTGCATTCAAGTACATTGTTAAGTGAATGAAGAATCTTGCAGATTTGGAAAGAATTGAAACCAGTAAATGTCAAATTGCTTACGACTGAGGCATAAAGAGTTTGCCAATATTCCGCACGGTGTGATTCGAATCTATTGAGGAAGAGCGTGTCAAGACCAGAAGCAATGCTGTGTGCTGCCCATGACACTATTCTTGGTGGCTGGGATGCTTTCAGCACAGTTGGATGAAGCAAAAATCGAGTTCCCAAGTCACTGGTAAAATCAACTGGACTCGAATCATAAATGTAGCCAGCAATACAGTCCCTGACCACTTGATAATCATCCTATAGCCAAATTGAAAAACTTTAGGGAAAACCATATGGGTTCCTCTTATGATAATATATTTATAAACATTAGCAAAAAACGATGTTTACCAAGCTATATCGCCGTGGTTCATGGTATCCCTCAATTATCTGCCATGAGATGAGGAGCAAAGGTGAGCAAAAAATTTGATTGTCCTAAATAGGATTCTACTTTGTGGTTTGAGTGACAAAGCTTACCTGAAGAACCTTATACATGCATGCTTTAGGCCCACCAGAAAATGATGCAAATACTATAGGACATCTCTTGATCTTTAGCTCCTGAAAGTATATTTCAGCCGTTAATGTATTTAGTTAGCTTAAACTTAAACATCTATCTTAGTTTTGCACTTCAAAATGCACTATAACACTAACCTCGACTAGTACTTTAAGAATTTCAAATGCCAGAGATGCAGCCTTATCAGGGAAGAACCTGCTCCAAATGTTCATCAAATTTAGACAAACAAAGATCACTGTAGTCTATTATAAAAGCTCAAGGCTACTGTTTTTCCAGCCAAGCGCCTTTGCAAGGGAAAAGAAATCAGAGATAGAACAAAACCCCTGATTTCAAAACTTCATAGCCATATGAATCTGGGCATTATTATCTTCAAAGTTTCAGCCAACAAAGAAAGTAAATCGGGAATCCCAATTTCCTATTAGAATCAAGGACCTCCCCAATGAACATTACAACAGATGCAGGTTGAATTTGAAGACTAGCCGCTAGAAATCTCGAGAAACTGGTAAAATACGGAGATGGGAGAATTGGCTAGCTTGGAGCGATTCAAACACAGTTATATCGAAATCGACTTTGCAGTGACAAAACAGAGCAAGGAAAAACAAGTAAATTCGGAGGTTGAACTTACATATTGAGGAATTCGGAATGGCAAACGAGAGAATTCCAACCGAGAGAAGAATACATATCCACATATCTTTTCAAGTGCCTCTCCTGACTAGACATCCACGCGAACGCCACTACAATCCCTTCGACTCTCCCGACTCGCTCTCTTCTTCCCCAATAATACCTCCCACCGAATCCCCACATCTTTCTCCTCCTCTTCTCCTCGAATCCAAAACCCTGCAAATCTTGAAGAACTGGCCACTCAGTTTGTCGGCGTCTTCAAGCTTTTCCCCGAAAAATATCGGGAGGTTGGAGATGATTTTAATGAAGAATTTGGAGAATTTACGGACTGAAAAGAGAATTGTAATCTCAAGTGCTTGTATCTTTCTTTTTTTCCTTCCTTTTTCTTGATTTTGTTTTGAAATTAAACCTTTTAACGAAAAAAAAAAAAAAAAAAAAAATCAACGTCAACGGGTCACGACCCCACGATGCTGAGTCTCGCCGAAGAAATCGTGCCACGTCATATCCTCGATTAAAAATTCTGCCACTGCCACGAAAATATTTGAACATGGGGTTATTTATGTAACACTTCCCGTAGTTTTTAACTTATTTGCTACTCCACGTCATATTTTTGTTTTACTCAATAATAAAATCAATTTGATTGTACTTTTATTATTTTTCAATTAAAAAAATAAAAAATTGAATCATCTATCCATTTAACTTCTATACTTTTTACCTAATAAATTTATAAACATTAAAAAGTATTTAAATTAGGGATACATTAAATATAAAATTAAATATTTTAAAGACATATAGACGGAATTGAAATTTATCGACTAAACTCGATTGTAAATTTAATAAATCAAATTACTTCGATTTAGAAATTAAAATAACTTGAATGTGATTCTACTCATCCATTCGAACCGATTAAGTTCGACCGATTAATTGTTTAATTTTGTAAAAATGTAGCTATATCAATTACAACTTATTTTAATTAAAAATATCACCTATTTTTATTATTAAAAAACATTATTATAACTTGTATTTATTAAATAAAAACATTTAATATTTTTGTCCCTCGAAAAAGAAAAATGAAAATCTGACGTTGAAGGACTGAAATGCCCCTTACGCCGGCTCCGTTATCGTCTTCCGTCAGTCGTTAACTTCGGATGACCGCCACTTAGAAAGCGACAGGTCGGATTCAGATAAGACCCTGTTACCATTTCTTTTTTCCACGTCACTTACAGTTCGTGTTCGGCCATACTTAATTCTTTTTTATTTATTTTCGGGTTTTGTATTACCATTATTGCCTTTTATATTCCTTTATCCTAATTTGTCGTTCATATGAATTATGTGACAGTCGTGTCCACCAATTGAGCCGTGCTCTCGTACACAGCAGTCCACGGCAACCCAATACATCTTTTTTTTTCCTCGATAAAAACATCAATTTATAATATCGACTTATAAAAAAAAATCAATGTTTATCATTCCATTTCGTTTTAAATTTGTTATTTACTTTAAACTGTTGTTATAATCATTATATTTAATAAATTTTATTTAAGTCCTGTAATTTAGATGTGAGATATAAATTATATTGTTTCTAAACTTAATCTGTCAATTAATTTACAAAATAAAAAATGAATTCATACATATTTAGTCACAAAATTTAAAAATGAGATAATATTTAGATAATTATATACTTAATGTCGGAGAAGTTGAAAGTTTAAAGAACTTATTTAATTTTTTTCTAAGTTGAAAGATAAATTAGAAATGGGCAGTTTTCTTGGAAGTTCAAAATCCTCGCCATGGATAAAAATTTAGAGAAATCCTCTTCAACGACGTAGTTGATCGGATTCAGATTCAAGTTCGAGACCTCGAGGAAATTAGCTGCTCTCCGGTGAAGCGACAAGGTGCCTTTTCTTTCCCTACTTCTTTCTTCTTGAGATGATACAAGAGATTTTGCATTTGCGGCGCGATTAGAACTATGAGTTTAAGGAGCGATTTGATTCATGTACTTCGCGGTTAATTTCTAAAACTGAATCGACTTCTAGAGCTGCTTTCGCGACTGCATTTTTTTTTTTTTTTTTTTTTTTTTT